CAATAATTCTGAGATGAACTATTATCACAGCATTCAAACACAGGTCCTTTGAATTCTGAGTCAATTATCTATCCATTGCACTTTGTAATATCCTTTCTCCAAAGGATTAATAACAATAATGAACATTTATCAAAAACTATAAGCTAGATACCACACTATGTGCTTTACATGCTATATTTCATTTAATTTTCAAAATAAGCTTATGAGATTTTATCCACAGACAAGGGAGTAGATACTTAGAAAGGCTGAATAATTTCCCAAGTTCACACAGATGTTGAGTGATATCAGAATGGATTAGAAGTTATATGTGACTATCTCCAGGCCCAGGTTCTTAACCACCATAATATAGTTTTTATAGATATGAATGTGACCTGGGTCTTCATCTAAAGCTATTAATCCCCAGGTCTAGTCTAACTCTGTAGATGTTCCCATATCCATGTGTGTTTTCCTAAAATTCCACTTGGATAAAAAGGATTACATCTCAACATAATGGGATTGTTCTTTAGGAAGACACTAAGGGGCCAAGGGTTCTTGTTAGGGTTGCCTCGTGTGAGACAGGGTAATAGAAGGAGCAAAAGAAAAGAATCCTGAGTAAAGCAATCACTTGAGAACCCCGGGATGAGCCCTTTACAAGTTTGTCAAGGAGAGGGTCTTAAATAACACAACTCATCTTTAAAACATTTTCTGATTTTAAATTATAGAATATCGAGTTAAAATATTGTTGTTAGGAGCTGTTGTTGTTCTGTCAGTTCTGGCTGTAGCAGCCCTGTGTACAACAAAACGAAACACTGCCCAGTCGTGCACCGTTCTCAAAATCATTGCTACACTTGAGCCCATCATTGCAGCCACTGTGTCAATCCATCTCATTGAGGTTTTTCCCCTTTTTCACTGACCCTCTACTTTACCCAACATGTCTCCTTCCCCAGGGACTGGTCCCGTCTGACAACATGACCAAAGTATAAGAGACAAAGTCTGGCCATTCTATCTCACTCTAGGGAGATGCACCCCTTAGATCAATCTTCCATGAGACACCAGAGGGGCAAGATTCACATAGAGGGACAGACAGACAGACAGGAATGCATAGATAAGAAGGGCACAGGGAGGAGTTAGTCAGACGGAGGGGAGGGGAGGAGTTTTTTATGGTTAGAGATTGTGATCTGGGCATGAAATCAAATGTGCATGAACTGTTGAATGTGAAACAAATTTGATTTGTAAATTTGCCCCCAAAGCACAATACAAAAAAAAAAAAAAGAAAAAGAAAGAACATTCTGGCTGATACTTCCTCCGGGACAGATTTGTTCATTCTTCTGTTCGTTATTCTAGCAGTCCATGGTACACTCCATATTCTTAACTAACAGCACAATTCAAATATATAAATTCTTGTGTGGTCTTCTTTATTTGTTGTCCAGCTCTCTCATGCAAATGAGGCTACTGAAAAAACCATGGCTTGGTCAGGCACACCTTAGTCATCTAAGAGATATGTTTGCTCTTGGTACAATATACTGACAGACAAGTGGTGGCTAGTTAAGATAGGGCTGAGAAATTGGGTCAGTATTTTGATTGTGTAGCAATATTTTAATCCAAATTTAGATCCTAGTATCCTCTTTCATTAGCTTGCAAATCTATACTTCCCTAATCCTTGCAAATCTACAGTTTGAAATGTTTTGATTTCTTCTTTTGCCACCTAAAATTTCCCAAGACTATTTCTGGCATTAATCTAATTCCATTTTTAAGACTCTTAATTAAAAATGAGTGCTTTAATTTTTATTTTTTAAGGCTTACATTTGATTAAAGAAGGTGCCACTTAAAAACCTGTTGTTGTGTTTTGATATGTGCCATCGCGTCGGCCCCGACTCATAGCGACCCCTCCTTGGGCTTCCAAGGTGGTATCACTATGGAAGTAGATTACCCAACCTTCCTTCCAACGAATGGCTGGTGGGTTTGAACCACCAGTCTTCTGGTTAGCAGTCAAGTGCCTTAGACACTATGCTACCAGAGTTATTTAAAAGCAGAATATAGAGAATATAGTATAAGCCAGTTAGGGTGAAAAAGGCTAACAGTTTTTGAGAGAGTGGAAAAGAGAAAAAGGCAGTCTAATCTTTGTAAGAGTGATTTCTTTTTCTGTATAGAAAGCTGGCACAGATGTGTCACACAAGAATGAGGAAAGCTGCAGGGGCTTAGCTCAAAAGGCAGACAGAGCAGGACCCCCTGCAAATGGGGTTGTATCTGGCCTCATAAGGAAGAAGACTGACACTGGATGCCACTGACTTGATTAATTTTCAAATAGGGCAAATACAAACAGGGCAGACTGATGCTGTGGTTTCCCTAATTCACTCAGATGATTCATAGGAGGTTAATAGCTAAGATTCCCACTCCTCTACCACTCATCCGGCCTTACTTAGTAAGAAATGACAATTAGGATGCACAGGCAAACCCCTAAGAAACCCACATTTCAAAGCCCTATGCTTCTAATCCTAGGATTTTTACTATTGATTAAATGCTAGCTCTGTTCCAACTTCACACATAAGAAATGCATATTTCACATGTTTATATGTTCTATCTTTCCAAAGGCAAGAATGGAAATATTAATTCTATTTTGTTAACAACTTCCACTTAATTATCCATTTACTGACAATTATCAGTGACCTGAATCGGGATCTGAAAAAAATACTGTTAACTTTCTTTTGTCTAAATCCTATCTAACAGACATGAAGGACTGAACTGTGTTTGGGGGGAAAAAAAAGTAGCAGAATCTGGATATCAGGTATCAACTGTACATTTTTTTCACCCCTTCATCAGATTGGCAGAAGTTCTTTCTGCTAGTCTCTCAGATACTGGGGTTTTTTTGTTTTGTTTTGTTTTTGTCAGAAGATCACATATCTTAAGCCACCATATCAATCTTCTGGGGAGTTAGGAATGCAAAGACCCCTTTTTGTACCTTCATCATCAACACATTTGTTGAAAATAAAAGGGACCAGGCTTTGACATTTTCCAGCTTGTTATCTATTTAATTTTCCATCTGCTTCTTTTGCTACTGCCTTCCAAAGGAACATCTGCTGCAAAACTGAGAAGGGAAGGAAGATTGGATCTATGCCACTTGGGTCTGTAGTCCTAAACCTTGGGATCCAGAACAAGAGAAGAAGACAAGCGAATGGGGGGGAAATGAAATGAGGACAGTGTGCTGAGAACAACGTTGCAAAGCCCCTCATGGCCTGGCAAGCTGGACAGCAGTGTTCCCACCACTAGCCTAGTATTTCCTCATTTAGACTTGATGGAGGCAGAGTATTTTTGACTTGCAATGTATGCCAGAGTTACTTTGTATGATTTGTGAGAAAGCTGAGACAGGTTAATAGCTAAATCTAGTTTGTTTGGGTTTACTGCCACATCCTAAGATTCCCCAGTATATTTGATATTGACATTTGTCATCATCATAATGGTTTTGTCACTATCTGTTCTGATTACCTAGTGCCTCTCTGACAGGAATACACCACAAAATGGGATTGCATTAACCAACAGGAGTTTATTCTCTTCGACTTGGAGGCTTTAAGTCCGAGTTCAAAGTGCCAGGCCCTAGGGGCTGGGTGAAAACCCCTGAACCTTGGGCTTCAACACAACGCTTCCTCCTGCTCCCGGCCCACTGAAGCTGGAGGCTTTTCTTCACTCAGACAGCTACTGGCTGCTGAAGTTGACAAGCCCAAAGTTGACAAGTAAAAGGGCACAGTCTCTATGTTACCAAACCACACAGCAGGCCATTAATTCAAGTCCATTGGAAATCCCAAGGTCGGCAGAGTATGACAGGCTGCTGAACAACACAGCTACATGCAGAGTTCAAGTGTGCCATAAGCTAGAGACCATTCCCAAAGCTGCTTATTATACACAGGAAGCAGATTTCATTCCTAAATCAGCTACTCAACTGCTTGTGGTAGATCCCACCATGGAGCTGATTGCCAGTCTCATCATGGGGAATAGCTATCACCAGCTGCCCAGCCACTCAACCAGGCCCAACCAAGTTGACATATAACCTTTTAACTACCACATCGTTCCTTTCAGTTTTGTACAACCATGAAGAAAAAAAAAAAAAAGTTTGGGACAGAGCCAAATGAGTCTTGTCTTTGCCTGAACTTGGGTCTCCTGTTCCCACCCAAGACTATAGAAAATTAGATATAGCAGGCTGGTCCCATGACATAAAAGAATGGATTGGTTTCATTTTATGCCAACCTGATTTTCTTTCTTGGTTCTTCCTGAGACATTAAAGGAGAAGAGCAGTAGGTAGTACCATGCACAGCTCACTAGTCTACCTAGACTAAGCTTCACAAATACAAC